AGAGGTGTGCCCCCACCCCCCGCATTCCTGCCCAGGCGGAGCCCACAAAGCCAGACGGCAAGAGAACCAAAGGCACTGAGCAGCCTGCTCGTGAGCTTTGCTTAAAGAAAACATCCTCAGCAGCCGAAGGCATGAGGCTGGAGATGGCTCAGACCTTCCGTGGTAAACTTCTAGATCCTGCCCACCCTGTGCCAGCTGTGATGGGAGAGCCCAGTGCCTGAATGCTCGGCCCTGGGCAGGGTGCCCCCAGCCCTAAGTCTGCCTCCTGCCCCCGCAAAGGCCGTGGGAAGGCAGGCTGCCTGGTACGGACCATCTGAGGCAGCTCTCTCTTCTGGTACGTGAATTCCAGCTGCTGGTTGGAGGGCCCGCTGCAGATGACGAGGGGCAGGATGTTGTCTGCAGGGATCACGTGACCTGGCGAGACCCAGTGAGGCTGAACTGGAGTCGACTGTCCCGCAAGGCAGAGTCCAGGAAGAGCATCCCCCGACCCCGTCTTCCAGACTAGGAAGAGCAATTCACAGCCCCCACCCCATTTCCACATGGGACCGACTCAGCGATGCCCAGGCCTCTCCAGGCCTCTCCGTGCAGACGCAGAGCAGGAGAGCCCGGAGATGGGGAGCTCGCGAGGAAGCTGCCCTCGTGGCCTCAGCCCCCGGGCCTGATAACAGCACACAGCTGAACTGTGACACGAGGCCCCGCCCCGAAACCCTGGGCATGGGTCCTCACCACAGGAGAACTCCACCACGCGCTCAGCTTCCACCCCGGCACACGCCAGCAGCTGCTCCCGGAAGTCGGACACCTGCAGACCACAAAGCCAGCTCTGTCATCTCCCAGAGGCCTGGGCCAGGAGGCGACAAGTACGTAAGAACACAAAAAAGAGGCAAAAGGAAAGGCTGGTAACAGACTCGTTAAAAGAAAAAAAATAAATAATGATACCCAGTGTTGGCAGCCTCATTTAAACCACTTGTGGGAACAGCAAGAGAGATTCAGCAATTTGAAACAGTAGTTCTAAACCCTGGCTATGCAACAAAATCACCACTGGGAATTTAAAACATATACATGTGGTCAGGGCCCAGCCCAAACTATTGAATAAGAATCTCTGGTGGGAAGACATATGCATTTGTATTTTTAAAGAGCTCCAGGTTTTCACCTATCAAACCGGCAAAAATCCCAAAGTCTGACTGCTCTCTGGAGAACCAGGCATTCTTACATGTTGCCTGTGGGCCACAGGATAGCACAACTCCTGTGGAAGGGGAATTTGACACTATTTAACAAAGTAGACATATTTTTACTTTTTAACCCATAATCCCCTATATCTAGCATCCCCTGAAGTACAGCTCCACACACCAAACATACACGCAAGGACAGTCCT